AGATTGCTTTCAATGCATGCTGTGATGCACATAGCGCTAACGATGAATGCAATATCACACTGATATCACCTTGTCATACATGATAATTAGAGTTAATCCTTCAAAGTTTAGGATTGAGATGGTTAGTTCTTTTGACTTTGGAACATCACGGAATGAAAAGGAAAAAAGACTACCTGATTATTCGCCTAGCATGTTTCAAGTCCAATTATCGCGTTCTTTTGTAGTTTATTTTAAATCGCCGTTTTTATCTATTTGAAACACTCTTCTTGTGAACCAACCAAAACTAAACGTGAGAAATACGTTATCAACGAAATAAGATGCAACATAAGCATGCCACTCTTCACTTTTTAAACAGCAAATAATGAAAATGCAATCTTTTTTTTTTTTTTCTGTGCTGGTATTTAAGAACAGTCGTTATTACTGTTTAAATGCGCGGTTTGGATTGTCAAGTAACCATGGCAACAGTTATAATCGTTCTTTATTTAAACATTTTCTGTTAGACCTCGGGGGAGAACTGCTGTCAAAATGGAAAGTAAATGAAAGAGACTGCCTTCTTTAACGATGATAATAAAGGTATTTAGCATTTTTGTCACATCTTTCAAAAACATGCTTTCTTCTCACAGAGGCAGCATGTTTCCTTCCAGTGCCGTAGCACGCTGATAATTCGACATAATGGCATTTAATGAGAATAATTGACATGTTGATTAATTAAGGAAACCTTTTTAATTGGAGGTTCAATTCTTGAAACGACAGAACCATTAGTGTCCCTCCAAGGGCGACAATGTCTTCTCTCGCGATGAAACGCTTGCTTTGGATTGTACAAGTTTGCACTTTCCTTGGATTTCTCTTTGCCGTTTTAACAAATGGCGAAGGTAGGTCGTTGATAATAAGGTAATTCAGGTCCATGTTTTGTTAGCAGGTGGGAACGAGGTGCTGAAACAACTTTTCATCATATCACTCTGTTGAACGAAGATCAAAACTAACGAAAGTTTGATAATTATAGGAAAATTTCACCAAGATACAAATATCTCCTTGGTTTTAGCTGCAACCGCTTTCAACATTTCAATTCCCATCTATTTACAACTTATTTTAACGAAAATGCGCAAGTAAAGAAAACGAAGCCCACGTTTTTTGATCAAGAACCAAATTTCTTCAAACACAATGACAGAAAATGTACGCTAGACATTAATGAGAATTTTTATGCTGATGCTGGCGTAGATGTACTATGTGCAACGTAATCACTATACTAGACGATCGCAACAATTTGTTGAATTTATTACTTATATTGATTTAAAGATTATCTTATCCAGATTGGAAATATAATCCTATCCTAGCTTCAACAGCTTTTTAATGATTCTTGCTAAACAAACTTTTAGGGCTGTTTGCTCGAGAAATCCAACAACTATTTTTTTTTCATGAAAGTAAGGAACTTAACCTTCTCACTGCCAGTATTCATCTTCTCCGTTAATCGTGCATGCAGCTATACCGTTTCCAATTTTCCACAACACGCGTCTTGCAGTCTTGTTTTTTTTGTTTTTTGTTTTTCCCGTTTATGGTTCTTTAAAAAACCCTGAACTAAATGTAAATCTTTAAGAGTACTTGCAATTTTGGACGGTTTCATAGCTGCAATTGAACTGTTTGAAACAATTTTTCCCCCAGAGAAGAAATTACGAACACCGACTTTATCAAGTTACTAAACCTTGACTTAGCAATATTTTTTGCGACATATATTGAATCTTACATCAAGCTTTTGCAAACGGCTAAATCATGATTCAAAATAGTATAGGATATTTTCGACATTCAGAAACAACATAACCGACCGGAGGGGCTGGTTTAGAATTATACCGCGTTAAGATTTGCGTTGACATTTTCTCCGTGTTAAGGAATATAATTTTTCACGTTGTTATTGTAAGATAGTTTTGTGCTGGTATGTAGATTCGTTGGAATGCAGGTTACGTAATTATGCTAAGAAGTTAATATTTAAGGAGTTTGTCCGTTA